AAGAAAGAAAGAAAGAAAGAAAGAAAGAAAGAAAGAGAAAGAAGAAAGAAAGAAAGAAAGAAAGAAAGAAAGAAAGAAAGAAAGAAAAGATTACAGATGTGTAGGAAGTTCCACATCTCAGCAGCAGCTGAGAACTAGGGTGGGTCAGATACGACTCTGAGTAAGAACTACAACGAGTTGCTTAACTCACAGCAAAAGGTGTCAACCCAATTAGGAGGGCCTCACTGACACAGGACAACACCTGCACTCATAGGAACACTAGAGCTAGATCTTCCAGCCCTGAAAACCAGTCTCACAGATGAAAGGAGCATCTCAACCCTAGGGAGACTTAGTCTTCCCCTGAACATGCAGACACCACCACTGACACTTTAAAAGGAGACATAACTTTAAAAATAAAAAAAAATAAAAGAATAAAAGGAAAACACAACCAACAAACGAACTCCAGATGTACAAGTCCTAATAGAAATAACATGGAAAAGCAACACAGCATTTCTCCTCCACAAATCACTACTCCCAAAATAATGGCTCCTAATTGTTGAAGAATATTTGTTTAACTATGCAAAGATGTGTTGGTTTGTTTAACTTTGTAAAGATGTGTTGCACTTGTTTAACTTTGTAAAGATGTGTTGCATTTGTTTAACTTTGTAAAGATGTGTTGCATTTGTTTAAATATGCAAAGATGTGTTGCATTTGTTTAATTTTGCAAAGATGTGTTGCATTTGATTAACTTTGTAAAGATGTATTGCATTTGTTTAACTTTGTAAAGATGTGTTGTATTTGTTTAACTTTGTAAAGATGTGTTGCATTTGTTTAATCATATAAAGATGTGGTGCTGTTTTACCTTGCCTGCCTGATTGGTCGAATAAAAAGCTGAATGGTCAATAGTGAGGGAGAAGGTATAGACAGAAATTCTGAGCAGGGAGAGTAAGTAGGACAAGGAATTTAGGCTCAAAGGAAGAAAGAAAAAAGGAGACTACAGGGAGATGCCAGGGGCCAGACAGACAGACAGGAAGCAGGAAAGTAAGAGATACAGAATGAAGGACAGGTAAAAAGCTCTGAGGCAAAACATAGATAAATAGAAACATATTAAACTAAGTTAAAAGAGCTAGTGGGACAAGCCTAAGCTAAGTCAGAGCATTCACAATTGATAATATGTCTCCATGTCTTTATTTGTGAGCTGGTTGATGGCCCAAAGAAAATACCATCTCTAAAATGCACCCAACATAAGGCCTGAATTTCCACATAGGGCCTGAGAAATCTGAAAAGAGAGAAAAAACAAACAGAAAAAAACAGATACGGCTTCCTTAAGAGGCACTACTGTGCAACAGAGCACTTGAGCAGCCAACATGCTAAGTAGAAACAGCAAGCTAAATAAAAATGCTTGCCACAGTCTGGGCACCAAGTTCCTAGAGCTGGAGTGGTTGAATGCAACTATCAGTTAAATGCAGTTCCGAGTTAAATGCAGCTCTCAGCCAGGCCCTCAGGCTTAAGGCTCATCTCTCATGGACCCAAGGAGGGGGTGGACCTGCCATCAAAAGGCCTAGGACCTAGTGGAGAGCCTAGCTGCTGCTTATCTATTTAAGGTTTGGTTTGTGTGGTCAGAGAATGCTACAGGTATACAGTAAAAAAGATCCAGACCAAAACAAAAAAGAAACAAACAAAAACTTTAAACAGGTTACAGTGTGTGTAGGTGCTTAAGAAAGAAAAAAAATGAGTGTAGATAGTCACAGGGAAAAATAAATACTTTAAAAATAAGTAAAGTCTTTAAAGAAAGAGTAAAATAGTACATAAAGAATAAGCCACATAACAATGAGAAATACACAGGGAATCTGGATCCTGTATGCTGCTTTGTTGACTTTGAATTTTTGAATGCTGATGAGTGAATGACAGCTGCTGAGAGACATGCTGTTAGACCCCGGAAACTCAAGTATCCGGGGTCCCAGGCCACGTTCTCGGTCACCCCAATCACCAGGCGGATTCGAGAGCTTGCTGCAAACTGCACGAGGCTTTATTGTAATTTAACGAGCTAACTCCATGTTAGCTCGGGTCTTTCACTCACCCACCATGGCGGATGGCTAGCAAAAGACGGCTCCTAGGGTCTCCCAAGAAATCTTATAGGACAGCGTAAGGGGAGTGTCTAGGGATACCCACAGGCTCACGATTGGTGTGCCTCCAGGCTTGGAGGGCTTGCCCTGTGTTGATTGGTCAACTGGTTGTTATGGCCCATAGGCCCTCCCAGGGTGGTTGCTATGCTCTCTACGTCATTGCTGTGCGCTTGTCCGTAAAGCACACCCAGGGTCGTAAAGCATAG